AGATTCTCTTTTAGCTCCTATATATTATACTAATCTAGCCATCCTTTCTACTTAACTAAGTATTACTACTAACCTCTAATTATACGTAGGTCCTTAATTTCTTTAATTTTATATTCGTCGTCCTCTAGTTCTAGTTAGGTCTTAATTAGAGCGTCTAGTAGTGCTAGTTCTAGGAGATTTTTATAGAAAGTAGGGTATATCTTAGTACTAGTTAGTAACGTACCCGGTAAGCGAGCTGCGCAGGCAAGCAAGCTACGCACCCCACCGACTTTTCGCGTTACGTCACCTTTCAATTATAATGGCTCAACCAACTACTTTACAATCGCCCTATAACGAAGGCGATATATCTCTAGCTATCTTAGCAATCAATCAAAACCAGGTTCAAAGTGGAAGACGCGCTGCAACAATATATAAAGTCCCTGAAAGTACGCTCCGTGGCCGACGCGCTGGAGTACTCCCACGACGCGATTCTGAGCCCAATTCAAAGAAGCTCAATAAGCTAGAAGAGGAGGTGATTACTAGGCATATCCTTGACCTAGATTCGCGAGGGTTTTCGCCAACCCTAGGTGCTGTTCGAGATATGGCGAATAGACTGCTCGCTGAGCGCGGCGCTGGCTAGGTAGGTGAGAAGTGGCCATACAACTTTGTTAAGCGGATAGAAAGCCTTACCACACGTTTTAATCAACTATATGATCGACAGAGAGCTCTATGTGAGGATCCTAAGGTAATTAGGGCGTGGTTCAACCTTGTAGCGCGCACAAAAGCTACCTATAGGATCTGTGATAAAGATACCTATAACTTTGATGAGACTGGCTTTATGATGGGTAGGATATTAGCTCAGCTCGTTGTTATAGGCTTAGAATGACGAGGTAGGCCAAAAGCAATACAGCCAGGTGATCGTGAGTGGGTTACTGCAATTCATGGAATCAACGCCACTGGCTGGGCTATCCCACCCTTTATCATCTTTGCTGGCCAGTATCACCTCTCTACCTAGTACAAGGATAATAAGATACCACACGACTAGGCTTTCGCTGTCAGTGATAATGGCTGGATAATAAATGAGCTTGGAGTAGAGTGGCTAAGGTACTTTATCAAGCATATAGCAGAGCGTAGAGTAGGCGCACGCCAGCTACTCATACTTAATAGCTATGAGAGTTATAACTTACTTAAATTTCAAGCGCTTTATAAGGAGAACAACATCTATACTCTCTATATGCCATCACATTCATCGCACCTCCTGTAGCCACTTGATGTTGGCTACTTCTCGCCGTTGAAGCGCGCATACAGCCGCTAGATTGAGGGCCTAATTCGTGATCACATCAACCATATCACGAAGCTAGAGTTCCTGCCAGCCTTCTACGCAGCCTATAAGTAGTCTATTATAAAGGAGAATATCTGCGCAAGCTTTCAAGGCGCTGGCCTAGTACCACATGATCCTAATAGGATGATAGCGAAGCTTAATGTGAAGCTTCGTACGCCAACGCCGCCTATACTAGAGACTACCCTCTGGGAAGCGCGAACACCAAGTAACGCGCGTGAGCTAGAGGCTCAATTAATATTAATACGCGATAGGATATAGAGGCATGGAAGCTCATCACCTACATCTATTATTGAGAGACTTAATCAGCTTGAGAAAGGCTCTATAATGGTAATGCACGAAATAGCATTAATGCGCGATTGGATCAAGAGCCTTGAGAAAGTAAATGAGACTACTATAATGCGCAGAAGGCGTAAAAAGAAGCGTATCTAGTAGTGAGGCACCCTATCAAAGGCAGAGGTAGAGGAAATCATAGCTCAAAATGAGGTTGAGTAGCAGCTTGAGGGGGAAACGCGTTAAGGTAGGGCGCGATTAGGTATGAGTCGGTAGGCTTCAGCGCGCTGTAGGCGCTGTAGGGAGACTGGCTATAACTCGCGAACATGTAAGAAGGACACTAGAGATGCCACTTAATTTAGCATAGTAATTATATTCCATTATCTTATTGTGTTGTTGAGATATACCACTATAGAGGTATGAAAGTTAAGTGGGGTACGCAGCTCGCTTGCCTACGCAGCTCGCTTGCCGGGTACGTTAGTAGTAGTTTTATTATAACTAGTCCTTTTATTTCTTAAACTTTAAAAGGTCCTACCTATAGGTGATTTAGTTTTTTACTTAG